CCTTCCAGTGCCAACTCTTCTGCTGAAGCAGAGTGGTAGCAAAGATGGGAAGGTGCATCACGAATGCACTTTTCCATTGTCACATTCGTTACAAGGTCACCAGCTTGAAAGCAGATTGGAGATATTCAAGGAGGAAAGCTCCATTCATGGCTGTAGGTCTTGAAGACAGTATCTTGCCTCAAATAGCCAGTTGCAGGGAACAAAATAAGAAAATATTGTTTCTCCATCTCCTGCTTCCAAATAACCCAGAAGTATTTTGTTGGGACATATAAGAAACAAAATACTGGAGTCAGATTGATCTTGGCCTATTCTTGGATTCGAATGGTCTTGTCAATATCAATAAATATCAGATTAGAGATGAGTTTGCATGACACACTGAACCATAAACTGGCTAAACACATAGTAGCCTAATGAAGTGTGGAAATTCTGATTGCATGGTTTGTATGTACTTCAATGTATTGTGCAAACCAAGGCCAGTTAGTTAACTCATGGTTAAGTAATCTATGATTAAGTAAACCACTATTCAGTTAAGTACAGGACAGCTTCTTGCCCAAACATGCCCAAAATGTAAAGAAGGCAATATCTGTAGAAAATAAACATTGGGGAGTTTAGTGTTTTAAAAACTATCCTAAATCCTACAGCCATGTTTGACATCAACATATGTATCCTTGGACGTATTGGGTAACCTGCAATAATTGAAACAGCATTCAAAATTTCTCAGCCAGAAAGCAAGACATATCAGAAACAAATAGGCAACATCACTCTTGTTGCATCTTATCCCAGAAGTTCTACTGCCATGGTGTTTACATAAAATGCTAATCTATGGTTCCCTGAGCCACAGTTTAAACTGTTCCACTCTATTGCTTGGGTTCATACATTATCTAGGATATTGTAATCTAAGTACATTGGCTGAGCTTAAATAACACAAATCATCCAGCATCATTTTAACCCAGGCACAAAGAAGCCAGTTCTTCAACTCCTTTTTGGACATAGTGTTCATTAAACCTCCTTTTTTTCCTTTCCATTAAGCTATTTCTCTCTGCCCTTGTGCTTCTGTTGTATCCCAGCTGGCCTTTTGCCATCTGTTTCCTTAGGTGGCTGTACTTCAACCCTGCATCTTCTCACTTCTAATGCAGTCATCTCAAAGGAACATATTTTGTTAAAGTTTAAGAAGTTACAGTTTACAATGGCCATGGTATGTGAAATATTTAATGATTTTACAGTTAATAAGTTATATTACCCTATCAATTCTTTCCTGAAAAAATGTGTATTTGCCCATCAGATATGAGCTAGCATTTTTGGTGAATTAATTGCGATTTTAAATCTATAAAAATGTAACTGAATGGATGCAAATAATGATTTCACTGCTTTTCCATTGCTGTTCATGTACCAAACACTCCAATTCCTCTGCTATCACCTAGATCAGGGGTCCCCAACCTTTTGGGCCCTGGGGACCAGTTTCATGGAGGGCTTTTTTTCTGCAGATTTGGGATGGGACAGGATGTGGTTTGTGCCTTGCCTGGGCCTCGTGCATGCACAAATGGGGCTTCACTCATTTGCGTGGCCCAGTTCCTGGCAGGCTGTGGACTGGTGCTATTCTGCAGCCCAGCGGTTGGGGACTCCTGACCTAGATGGTTAGTGACCCAAATCCTGCTTATATAGAAGACTGCAAACATCATAAAAAGAAGATAGATTTTCCACAGTTGTTGGACACGTCTGTACAAAGCAGATACATGATTGATAAAGTAAGATTAAAAACAGGATTATAAAGGAATAAAGAAAGGAAACAAAGAATAGCTTCACAAGGACTCATTGTTACAGTTAACACAGTGATACATTATGCTGGAACTTTCTCATTGCACAGTACTTACGTTCAACCTTGATGTACAGATATGAAGTTTTGCAATACAGGCAACTTCCATGGCTGAATGAAATTTACCAAATAGATATGTTGATGGAACATACAGTATATTTTAGCAGCTTATCCACAGTCATCAAATAATTACCTACCACCACCATTTATTCATTTCAGAAAATCATTAAATAATTGCAAGGCCTAAAATACTGTAAAGTGGTCCGGCAAAGCCATATTACAAAAGAGAAGAGTGCCTTCCTATGAAAAAAAGAAAAAAAAAATTTCCAAAGTCCAAAGATGGTTGTGGTAGGAAGCTTTCACCTGTAGGAAACTCAACAGGCTTAATATTAAGAATGTAATTCTTACATATATTATAATAGCACTTAGACTTATATCCTGCTTCACAATGCTTTTACAGCCCCCTCTAAATATTTTATAGAATCAGCATATTGCCCCCAACAATCTGGGTTCTCATTTTACCAACCTCAGAAGGATGGAAGGCTGAGTCAACCTTGAGCATGGTGAGATTCAAACTGCCAAATTGCAGGCAGCTGGCAATTCGTTCATTCATTCGTTCATTCTCATTCATTCATGCATGCATGCATGCATTCATTTGTTCATTCACTCATTCTTTTCCCTGACTGCCCAGGGTAGCTCTCCTTATTTGATCAGTATGAGAACTGTGTAAGGTTAGGCTGAGAAAGTACAACTGGCACAAAGCCACTCCTGGCACACTGCCATTCCATAGTAAAATAATTTGCAAAGATTTTAGCATAAAAACTAGCCCTTAACATATTGAAAAGATGACAGAAGATGCCAATCAACCTGTTGCAAAAGATCTACCATCAGTAGAGTGGTCATTATTCTTGTTCATGGAAACAGGATGCTAAATTATGCCACTTGCAAGTATCTCAGCCATTCAATTAGTTCAATTAGCTACAGTCTTTTGACTTATAGCACATCCCATGTGGCTGTCCAGTGTCCTAGAGCATTTCTGGCGAGAGGCAGAATGCTTACTTAGTCTATTAACTCACTAGCTCATTTGTGGGAAACAAAAAAAGCAATGCAATGAAATGGGGAGAACAAAACCACCAAAAAGAGATGCTACTTTAACTGGAGCCAGCAAGTCACTTCTCCAAATCCACTTTCCCTTCCTGAGCTCCAGACATTTTATTCTGATCTCTGCTGAATTAGAGCAATAGAAATCTGAATAATGTTAGCTGGCTGAGAACATTTTGCCGGTGTTTATTCACTGCTTCCGGGCATTAGTGTTGCTAGGAATCCCTAGTAAGCCCAAGCCTTTTGCTTTAAAATCCACATTCTATTTCAGACACAATTAAGTAGAACAGTGATTAGATCATATATTTGGATGTTTGGAGCTGTTCAGGAAAATCCACTTTGTCTCTGCTTTCATCAGAATATCTTTTTCTACATACTCATACATTTTGATACTAATATACTGAATCAAGGCTGGCAGTTTTCCTGGTTCTGTAAGAGTCTGTCTTCTAATCACCTCATTTCCACATATATATATCCAGTTTATCCAAGACAAAATGCACAACACACTGAAAATGTTTATAAAATGACCTGTACCAAACTTTAAGCAGTGTGTGTGTGTGTGTGTGTGTGTGTGTATTTCCCCGTAGCTTAAAAATCATAACAAAAAAGCATCCTTCTTTCAATACCACCCTACCCCTTTATGTCCCCCCCCACACACACACACATTACAAAGATTTAGCAGGTCAGAAATTAGCTATGAACAATTGAGTTAATGGGGTATTTACTGGGACTTATTGCCAGCATAAACCAAGACAAACTGTCTTCAATCATCAAGTCTGTTTAACTATGATTAAGCGCTGCTGGGGTTTGCAGTCCTTATCTCTCTGCAACTACCGAATCCGCTGAGAAAATAGAAGGGCTGGGACTAAAATTTGAAGTCTGCAAGCCTTGAGAACTACAATTTATTTTTCTTTCGTTGGGCAAGTCGGCAAAATATAGAAACACTGCACAAGAAAGATAGCTGTCACAAAGAGCCCTATTAAAAAAAGAGAGAGAGATGTGGCTTTGAAAAATAAAAGTTTGCTAAAACGGAACCACTATCCAGTCCCCAATCCAAGAAACAAATTGTTTGAACTGTAGCTAATTGGCAAACTACAGATTTGATGTACCTTGTTTACATATATTTCATATGCAGGTGGCATAAATACTGGAAATGCTTTTAATGTTCCAAAATGAGATGGTTTACAAGTTCACTTTGCATACTTTATTAAGAACTTTGGTTGCTAAAACACTGAGAATGAATTTAAAAAATTACAAAGTTCATTTACAGAAGGAAATAGTTTGGATGATTGGTTTGTGGTAAACATGATGAATCATATTGGTTTCCATAAGTAAGGAAACTTTCCATTTTCCACGTATAATAATAAGAATAATAATCAAGCCAGAGAAGCTCATATTAATGGGGGGTTTATTATTATTATTATTAAAAATCAAGTAATAGAACTTGCCATGAAAATGAAGTGGGCTATTACTACTTAGGTAAAACAAGCTGTTGTAAATTGGTATGAACGGATTAATTCTTAAATTGGGAATCTATCTTTAAGAAAATTGGTTGTCTAAAAACCATTGCAGGATGGTTTCCAGAGACTTGGAAACAAAAGGAGGCAGGAGTCCAATTGGGAACAGAAACGGGAAGGCATCCAAAGGTGCCTCATGAATTTATATAAAAGTTTGGGTTAATCTTTCCCAACAGATTGCTCAAGATTAGCCAGTGAGCTCTGCAGAGGATTGTGGTCTGAATTCTGGATATTCTAGTTGAATTCAGGGCCAACTGCTGCTTTTCTAGCCTTGATGCACACAAGTATATATGGTACATTCCCATATGAATATATGGATAGCCAAGTACAGGTTGTAATTTCCTGCAGGTGTTCATTGAGAAAGATGATTTCCTCTAAAAATAATTAGACTGCAGTTTCAGTAAATTGTTCTAAGAAGAAGTTCATTCAGCAATGCTTAAGATTTGGGGGCGGATGTCAGTGGGTGGGTGGGTAAATAAATAGTCTATTGAAAACTGCTGAGCAATACATTATTTTCAATATATTTTCTCTATAAAGGAAAAGAAAACACCATCAACTCAGTATCCATCTTAGTTTTTTAATTATAATAGTTTATTTATGCATTCTTACTGGTTAGGAAAAGTTTTTTTTTAAAAAAAATAAAGGATTTGGCTATGTTGCAAAGCTCTATACTTTAAAAATTGTGGAGACCATGTCTCTCCTTGGAAGTTTAGGTGGAGGGATTTTAGGTAAGAGCTCTTGAGCATAAGCTGTGCTATGAAGTCCAGCTTCTCGGAGAGCCAGCTCAACACGAACTCGGGTATCAGAAATTATCTGAATAAAAAAAGATAATACAATATGTTAATACAAGCCTCGTATAATAAATTGCTACAGTTAGAATCGACTGCAAGTCATGGAACAAGAACATGGCCACTTTTCTGGTATTAGGTAGACAATTTGAAGTAATTGGAACCAACTAATCCAGGGGTGTCAAAGTGGCAGACCGCAGGCCGTGTCATGTGTCATGCGCAGGCCATGCCTACCCCAGCTCCGCGAAAGGAAAAAAACATTGTGATACATCAGATGACGGCAATGTGACACGGTGAGTTTGATACCTTTAAGCTAGTCTAATCTCCCCAAATTTTTAACTCTAATTCTTAACTTTTAAAAGTTAATTCCTATTTCAAATTAGTTAACGTAATTCTTAGTGTTTATTAGGCACCCCTTTCCGTAGATTTCAGGCTGATTTCAGCTAACATGCCTTAGTATGTTATGTTCTTAGGTGCTTTTTAGATATGTTGCACTTATCCTGTTTTGTACATTTTTTTCCCCTTATGCTTCTGGAATACTCTTTACTGATGTTGCTCTATCAAAGTCTAAGTTTAGTCTTATTTGTGAATGTACAGCAGGGCTGGGTTTCAAAACTCGTTGCTACTGGTTCGCTCGTGGGTACATGCGGAAAAACATCCAGGCGGGTGGGTGGAGCCTCCTGCAGCTGCCGCTACCGGTTCGTCCGATCCGGGGCGAACCGATAGCAACCCACCACTGATGTACCACTGATAGCAACTATCACAATTTGATTTGAATCAGTAGAAATGCTATTTTTGAATACTATCTGAATGACTGGCTTCTCCTGTCCAAATCAACTGTCCAAATGTCAACCTGTGCCCTACCACTCCAGAAGCACATAAAATGGGCTTTCTTGGTGCCTACTCCCAAGTTCTGGAACTCTACCAAGGAACCAGAATAGTAACACTTTTCTTGTTCTTTTGCTCTAAGCATTTCATGAAAACAGTGTTTGGGTTCACAGATTGCCCTAAACTGTGATGAAGTATGCTTGGTTTTGGCTTAGTGGGTGGCTATTTATATAAGAATGCCAATCTGCTGCACAAGCTACACACCTGCTCATCACTGAATGTATGCAACACAAACAGAGGTTTCTGTAGAATAAATTCTTCTTCAATTCCAATACCCATCCGTGCTTTAGAGGCCACTGTATCGGCCACCATCCGAGCAGGATCAAATTCTGCCACAATAGCAACCTGAAGAAGAAAGGAAGTAGGAACAATTCAGTTATGCTCCTGCTTTTCCTACTTCCTTAAAGAAGGGACCAAAAAAAATCTAAACTTATCAGAAAATTACAGTCTAAAAATAAGTGAATCTGAGAACTTCACCTGTGTGCAGGACACCCCTACCCCAACCTATCCAGGTGGTCCAGGAAGGTAACCATATTACCAAGATGCCTAGCAAAACCACCAAGAATAAGATCTCCAGTTTGGCTTTTGATGTAGATCATGCATCAAGGGTGATCAAGACTGTCTCAGTACTATATCTATAAATTCAAATTTCCAAATCTGGAAATCAGATTGAAATCAATAAAGGTCAGGCTTTAAAAATAAGAACCAGCTTTTTCAGCTAACTTCAGAATATAGTGACAGCCAATATCTTGTGGATCTAGGAGAGAATTATCTACTACATCAAACATTTGAGCAATCATATTTTGCAACAGTTGAATTTAATCAATTATTGTCAAAGGCACCATTATATATTTGTCCAAACTAATTCTCAAATGTATAAAAAACTAAGCCAGAGTCTGTCTCTTCACTTAGTTTGACACAAGAGCAGTCAGTACAGGGAATCTTTGACTTATCACCACAATTGAGACCAAAATTTCTGTTGCTAAGTGAGACAATTGTTAAGTGAGTTTTGCACCGTTTTATAACATTTTTGGCGCAGCTGTTAAGTGAATCACTGCGGTTGTTAAGCTAATAATATGGTTGTTAAATGCATTTGGCTTCCCCATTGATTTTGCTCATCAGGCCACAAAAAGTGGTCACATGATCTCAGGACACTGCAACTGTCATAAATACGAGTCAGTTGCCAAGTGTCTGAATTTTGATCACATGATCATGGGGATGCTGCCACGGTCATAAGCGTGAAAAGTGATCATAAGTCACTTTTTTCAGTGGTACTGTAATTTTGAACAGTCACTAAACGAACTGTTGCAAGTTGAGGACTAGCTGTAATTGTAAATTGTTAGAAATCATTTGTGGTCATCATAGCTATTAAGGTTTCCTCTCTTAATCCAGTACCCCTGAGACTTTTCAGTTGTGCACCTCTTCTCTCTGACTACAGTATCTCTTAATTTTAGGTTTTGGGTTCATCTATCCTGAAACAATCCCCAAACATCAGTCCAAAAGCTTCACTTCCTTCCTCGGATGAGTAATTAAAAGTAGTCAAGCTAAGTGTATACTTTATGTTTCAGGACAAGACAAACTCTTAATTTCAGGAATTTGTATCCAACTCACTTCTGAGAGACAGCTTTGGCCAATGTAGCCATGAAAATGGCTCTAAGGAGAAATGTGCCACAGAATGGACTTGGGACCATGAGAGATGACTGAAGTTAACTGTGTAAAGCAGAACCCTCTCTGATTATGGAGTTAAGAGTTGAAAGAGTTTGGAGTTAAGATCTCAAAGGTCATCTAAATCTAACTCCTTGCTCAGTTCTGACAGAAGGCTATTCAGCTTTCATCACCAAATCACCAATGAAAGGGAACTATCATTTCATGATTTTTATATCATTTGCAGATCTCATATTTATCCCATCAATTGTTTCACCCGTATCATTAATAAAAAGTATTGAATAGTTCTGGGCCAAAACACAGCCATGTATCATTCTACTTATTATGGTACTTTATTCTACAAGCTGATGTGGAGCCATTTAGGCATCATCCAGGCAATCATGAAACCATCTAACAGTTGCATCATCCAGCCCATATTTTCCCATTTTATTATGGAGGGCATAAGGGGAGACTTCATTACATCAGCTTTCCAGTCTATCAAGGAATGATACCGGATATTTTTTCCCCATTTGGTTAGCATTCTAAACTAAGCATGATGACAAATAAAAAATTACTTCCCTTCCTTCAGTTTGTACCATTTTAACTGGCACATACACCAAAGGATGCAGGAACTGGCTTTTTAAAAACCTTTATAACAAATCAGAAAGCACTGACAATGACTAATAGTTCTGCTTTCATCTGATGAGTCACCACAGATATTAAAGCAATGACACAGAGCATTCATTTGGAAGAAGCAAATGCAGTTCCCTTTCCAAAACTTTCATATTTGTAGTTGTTGTGGTTTCTTGGAAACATCCTGAGGTAAAATTGTTGGAAGGTTTTCAAGTTTTCATCTGCACAGACTGGAGTTCAAAAGCTTATGGGGGGAAAAACGGTAATCAATTGGATGTTTTGCTTAAATATACCCCATTTCCTTTCATTAGCCATTCAAAAATTTATTGTCATTATGTAACAGAAGCTAGATTTGGGACAATTTATTTATTTATTATTGTAGTGTTAACCCATGTTTTCAGATAATTGTTCCCAAAGTGGCTCACACCAATGTTTAAAAAAATCCTGTCTTTAAGATTACTGTTCAAAAGGATCAAAATTATTGGGGGAGTGGGGGAAGAGAATTGGAATAAAAAGGAGATCTGTTTCTCAAGCCCCCTCCTCCCCCACCCCCCGGAAACAAAAAGACCAAGAAATATGAAGGAGCAATTTACATGCAGCAAAGGCTGGACTAAATTTCTCTTCCTGGATCTCTAGCTTTAATAACAATATGAGCTTCTTGTTCTTTTGGCCTGTGGGTGAGGCCAAGACCTGCTCTCTTCAACTCTGCATTCCCAGAGTATCCATTTAAAATAAGAGCTATGGATGTCAGGAAACTGATTTTATGATTCTGAAAATGTAGATAACAATATCAACCCCCAAAGCATCTCCCTTTAGAAGGGACTTCTTAAGTTGCTAGGCAGCCACCATACAAAGAAGCATGTATCTTGACCCCGGATTTGCCTGGGTCATCCACCCACTCACTTTCTCTCTTATTTTGCTACATGCTGTGCCCCGAATCATTTTATGTTGCTGAAATGTTTTGTCACGCAGTGTATGTAGATGTGGGCTAGTGGCATTCGGAGAGAAAAAAAAGTAGCAAGAATTTAGAGCATAAATCAACCTGAAAGGGAACACGGTTCCTGACATATCTAATCAAGTGATTGAGGAAAAAAGACCAAGAAGTGAGCAAGAGAGCATTTTGATTGTGGCTTTCTTTGCTGGCAATGGATCCGTGTTTTCATCTTTCTAATATCCAGATAAGACAATGGTTTTATTGGCTTCAATAATTAAATATATTTCTACATTCTATTGCCAAATCATCAGCAAGGACACATGAATAATGAAAGCTATCCAAATGCTATCAAATGCTCAACCTAGAGCTATGATTAATAACAGCATTCTTTTTTTAAAAAAAATGTGGATTCTTGTTGAGTGCCTCCTGTGAAAAGATGACTGGGGAGCAGTGATTTTATAGCCTGCCATGGCTATTGTTTTCACATCAAAGCCATACAATCAAGCTTTAAGTGACTTGCCATCAGTGACTATTACATTTATTAGGGAGCCTTTAAAATATAAGTGCGATACTTTAAGTAAAACGGTGGCATTAAGTTAATAGTAAGGTAATGCATACATTATCAGAGGAACATTTCTTTAGAATTATTGCTTTATGGAGTGGACGTACTCCAGCAGCAACAGCAAAGAATAATGAGTTGTTTTCAACAAACTCTTGAGGCCTAAAAGGGTGCTGGAGAAGTGGACAGAGACTGTGGTCCATCTCAACAAAGAGGTAGCCCTCAGGTAACCATTGCAATTGTAAACCCCGATGTCATGTGACTGTGATGCTTAACAATAGAGATTCTGACACTTTTGGTTGCTATTGTTAAGTATACAACTGTAGGTCATTAGGTGAGGTCATCACATTGTCACTATTTGTGACTTACTGCTGGTTTCCTCATTGACTGTGCTTTTAGGAAGCCAGCAAAAGTCGCAAATGGTTATAGCATGATCACAGTGTTGGAAGGAAAATCCATCTGGTTCAGTTCCAAGCTGGGAGAAAGACACTGGAAACATGGAGGCTGATTGGAAAGAAAGGTTTATTGGTGACGCCGAGCCACCAACCACATTTGATTCTGGGCAGCTGACAAAATGGTTGAATGAGTGGAAGAATCTTTATAGGTTTCTGTGTCTTTGAAGTTTGGACTGTTCTGGGGGTGGTGCAATGAAGGGGCTCCTGTTCTGAAAGGGTGTTGGGCAATTCCTATTGTGGCTAATGGCTTTCATCCTGTTTTGGATCTTGGGTGAGGGGCTGCTTTCTAATCCTACCATTCTGCCAAGGAGTTTTGAAATATCCTGTCTTGAATGGATTACCAAATCTGCATTTCTAAAAGCTGGCCTCCTCAGTTTCTGCTTGAGGGCAGGGAGACTGGTGCTGCTTTCTGCCTCCCTTAAGAGCATGTTTCTCCATTTCTCCCTTTGGGGAAATATAATATCCTGCCTTTTTAATATTCCTCAAAATATTTCATTCTTCTGGGATGGGAGGGCTTCCCACAATGGGATGCTGTGATGCCATAATTGTGAGCTGGGTACCCAGATCGCAATCACAGATGCATCACAGATGCTGCAACTGACGTGTGTGAGGACTGATCAAAACTACTACTCATCCAACACTGTTGTAAGTTCAAATGGTTGCTGAATAAAAGATCATTAAATAAGGACCATCTCTATAGTTTACATTAGCTGCTCAAAGGCAATTTTAATAATCTGGTTCAGATTGGAGACCAAATTCCTGTTTTGAAAGAACAGGTTTTTGTTTGCGTAAACTCAAGTATGGCAGTTCGGAACAACTATAGCTTTTAGTTTAAATTCAGAAAAACAAATGCTGCTTCATCTCCAGAGGCCACTGCTTGGTTTTTTAAGAAAAAGAATTGATGCAAGATTTTCTGTTTTGCTGCTGTTGCCAAATTTGGCAATCAGTAATAGCCTGTGGATTACTGAGAGACGTTTTAGTGCTGCATTACCTGTATGCGCCAGGAGCTGCACTACCTATTTGCTTCCTAGCTGATTTTCGTTGTCTACCTCAGAGTTGACTTTTACAGCCTTAAAAAACTTGGGGGCCATTTAGATTGCCTCTCTTAGTCCGTTCTAATCCAGCTTTCAATATTTCAGGAGGGGGATTTAGCCATAATGGACAATATTCATGAGTCCATCATGAATATTCTATGCAAAGGCCTCATCAATTGTGACTCCTTGTCAGGAATGTCCACCTTTCTAAGTGCATTAGGAATGACAGCAAGTTAGCTTCATTAGTTGCTCATAGCACATCTTTCCACCCAAAATTTGGGATCCTTTTGCTGCTATTGGTTTTAAAAGGGTAGGGTTTTAAATCACCAGGCTAATGTTTTTGATTTCTAATGCTGCAAATTTGCTTTCTTCTGCAATATCCTCTAGGATGCTCTAAAATCAAAATTTAGTAATCCAGTCTGTTCTCATCATTTGCACTGAACTACAATAATGATACCCTCCAGTATGGAAAATGGACCAAGACGCCATATGACTTTCTGATTTCATGCATCTTCTCTGACTTGGCAGCCAGAGGAAGTCAATAAATTCTGGGTTGTGTCTACTGGCGCTTAGCAGATAAAAGCTGCCCACAAGCTAACAGGCACTCCAGGGAACATCTTGAAGAAGCACTGGTGGTGGTTTTCTCTGAAAAGCAGTAAGGAATTTTGGACCCAAAGGAATCTGTTTAATTTTCTCTGTGACTGGCAAGTATTTCTCACTGAGACCAAAACTAGGAACAATTTAACCACCGGTTAAATATGAAACTTACAAGTCAACATTAACAAGTCAAACCAAGCTGCTAGGACAGTGCAATATTGCCATTAGAAAAACGATGTCAAAAGCTGAAATAAGTACTATCAAAAAAATGCTACACCAGCTGATTCATACAAACAGAGCAATTGTTGCAAAACGTAGTTTAGACAACAATGAAATGAATTTTATATGAAACACCTATGTATGCCATCTGAAGAAAAAAAATGAGAAGAGAAGAGTTCACTTTTATGGCAGGAAGAAACTAGATGCTCTCTGGTCTTATACCTTCAAACAGAGGAAACATGGCTTAGATGTCTTTGATCTAGTAACATTACACAAGGCAACCTAACAATACATACAGTTAAGAAGCTGGATACAAACTCCACACCAATTCAAGTTACTAACGGTTACAAAAACAGGAATTATTATTGATTGTATGATACATCAAACCAGGACTACTTGGCCTAGTGTCATATTGTTATGCGGGACATCAGTGTCATGTAAGCTCTTTGTGACTACTGGAAAAGTATCTCCAGATGTATGTAGCATGTTTTCCCCCCACTCTTTCTGAATGGTTGCAAATGAAGCGATCAGGCAGTTTCTGTCAATCCCCAACTACTATGCCTGTAATGCTTTGATGGCTGTAGTAGCCCAATGTTAATTACCATGAATTAAGAACCAATAAATACAATGAAACATATTTTTGAGTAAACATTCATGGAACTGGACTCTAAAACCTCAAGTTTTCAAATATTTCGAGTAACAGGACTTATATTTATGACATTTCTTAAATGAGAAGGGCAAAGAAGCATGCTTGCTGCAGGAGTGATGGACTGGATTGGTTTTCTTTTTTAGGAATTACAAAGTCTACAAACCCAGCCAATGTAAATTTCAGCATTAGCCAGAAACAGTAATTGTGGATTCTGATGCCATTTGGTAGCAATCTTCTACTAAGTTGGAGACCCATTCCAATGCTGTCACTTGCATTGCCTAAGACTCAACAGGCAAGACTACATAGCCTTTGTAGCTATAAAAATGCTTGAGGTTGAAATTATACCAAAGAAAAACTTTGACAATGTTTTCTGAATCATAATGGAAAGATCTGACAATATCAGAAATATATACATATATAAAAATCCATAGTGTCAGAATATTGTTGATTTTTGAAAACTAACTTGTTGCTTGTAGGAAAAATAACTAATTGGGAAATGACATATATTCTTTCCAAATGTACAAATATTTCTCTTGAAAATTAAGCATCAGAAAGATTTCTTCCAACCACTGGACTAGCCTGGCTCTCTGAATTATTCACATTTCATTCTTTCTACGTTCATTAATATAAAACTTGCTGCCAAAAAAAAACATACAAACATATAATCAAGGAAGACAGGGACAAAGAAATACATTTATAGATATGAGGACACACTTAGCTCTCTAATGTTATTGCTTTTAGCCTTTATTTGATTTTTTTTTTGTGCAGAATAAAGATATCCTTTTGCTATAGAATAGAATATAAATATTTCAGGGTTGTACTGTGGAGTCCTTGGTGTAACACATGGCATCACCATAGCATGCAAATCAACTAGAGTCCAGCAAAACATCTTAAGTAAGCGAAAAGATCCCAGAAAGGGAAAAATAACTCCAAGAGCCATCTACAATATAGAGTGTAAGAATAGTAACAGTCACTGTGTAGGAGAAATGGGCAGAAAACTAGCAGAGCACATCCATGAGCACCAAGTAGCAGTCAGAAGTTATGATGAAACTCCTTAATCTCATAATACATAAACAGACTCAACCAGAATTTCAACTGAGAAACTGTGAGCATCTTAATCCATGCAAAATATAAAAAAACACTAGAGAATTCCTGGAAGTTTGGCATTCAGACAAATGAGCCATCACCAGACACATAGAGATAAGCCACAATTACACACCATTCAAAATAGATGATATTTATTTATTTAGCGTATGGTTGGTCACACACAGTATAGATGATAAAATGATATGTGATGATAGATGATAAAAAACAATGGATCAGAACACCCCCTCTCTCCAGCATCCTACACACAGAAAACAGGGATTATTAACACAAGATAACCAAGCAGAAAGCAATTTCCTAATGAAGGAACTACTAAGCAGAAAACCATTTTTAACACTATCCAATAACCAGAGTTCTGTGAATGGTATTACAATCCATGGATATCTCTGGGGAAAGAGACAAAAAGGAAAAGGGAAAAGCATATTGATTGCAGTCAATAATTTGGTTTCTGTAAATTTCACACATGTAGAAAACAATTAAGTCTAGTTCTAGACTTGGTAATGGTAATGGTAAAAGCCCTTCTGCCATGTGGACTTCACATATTAAGAATAACAATGTTGTATATCAAAATACATAATGTAATATACAATGAGCTATAAAGGACAAGGAATTTTTTCCTCTTTTCATTTTGTGACAGATTGATGTCTCAATTAAATTTTATGCTGAGCCTTAATTGCATATGAAAACAGACAGTGAAAATACCTGTTTCCTGAGAGCATCAAGGCGCTTCTTCCTTTCTTCTTCTTCCTGGATTTCCTTGAGGATTGCCACTTTTTTCTCCATCAAACGCTTTTCCAACAGCTTTTGCCTAAACTGAACTCTTTGAACAAGAAATCACAAAATCAATGTCATGCTACTCATCTATCTTCTCAATATTACTTTATTATTCAGCCAACTATTGGGAATAATGAAGGCCTTAATTAAAGAAGCATTACAAACTGTCTTTTGTCTAGGAACCTTTATGTTACAGTTACAATACAATGCTACTCAGATTTATTCAGGAGAAAATATTAAGTTCAATAAGCATACATAGGATTAGAATGCAAATGTCTCCATTTTGTAGTAGACATTATTTGTGTATGAATCAATAAATAATATGTATTAAAATGCACTTAGATGGCTTATCACCCAATGCACTGATAAATTTTATTGCAATTTTCCACATCTACCATAGTCCAAATAACTGATACTTGCTAACTGAGGAAGAATCACACAAAGTCACGTCCATGCCTATGATAAAAAAACATGGCAAGCCAACTTTTGGCTTATCATTAGCACTTATCAATAGCACTTAGACTTATAAACCGCTTCACAGTGCTTTACAGCCCTCTCTAAGTGGTTTAGAATCAGCCTATTGCCCCCAACAATCTGGGTCCTCATTTTACCAATCTCGGAAGGATGGAAGGCTGAGTCAACCATGAGCCAGTCAGGACTGAATTGCTGGCAGTGGGCAGTGAGTGAGTCCTGCAGTACTGCATTCTAACCACTGCTAACCATGGCTCTCAACAAGTGCTTATGTACACAGGTGCTTTTTGCAAATTTCAAGCCACTAGCTAATTTGAAAAATATTATTATTATTGACTGTATTCCTTATTTACGTTACTAGCAAAATATCGGCCTTGATTCAAAATAGTGACACTGGAAATATATAAGTAATTAATGAAATGATACCTGGCTAAAAATGGTTAGGATGAACTTTTTATACCTTTAGATAGCTACAAAATTGGTAAAATTGCCTCTATACAAGAAATAATTCCTTTGAAACAGGGAATGATGTTTACTGCTTCATCCAGCCAAATCCAATATGCCCAGAGTCACTTTTGGTGAGATGGGTGACTATATAAATATATATCACTAAATAAATAAAAGTTAAGCAACAATTAGTTTTAGTGTGATTTATAGTTAGCTATTAGAGGAGAGTTGTGTAACAATAAAATAATCCTGTTAAATCTGGGTTCCTTCTACTAGTTCAGACTATGGTATATCTAACATATTATTAATTCTAACTGAATCTTTATTTGGGACAGAATAGATATCCATTACCAGCTAAGTCCTGGGAGTTAAATACCATCCCAAGCAGAATATTCTCATATAATTTCCAAAAGTAGTCAGAGTCAGAGGAAAACTGATAAAAAGGAGAATCCTTTCAAATGATCCAAATAAATGATTCTTATTTCCATTACTATGTCTGGGCAATTCTACAATGTCCCTAGCTCACTTTTTTAATTGTATCTTCAAAATTAGATTTCATGCTGAAGCACTATGGATTAACTCAGAGACCTGAAAATTGAGGATGTTCAGAAGAATTTATATAGATTATATAGGGAAGAAAACCGTGAAGAATTCACAACTTCATATCTCATGTGACATTTACTTCATAAATATAGTCTGTGATCAACTACCCATAAAATCACAGAAACAGGCACCTGACACGTCTGCTGAGATATGCACTGATAAGTGAGCACTTTAAATAGAACTATTTATATAGATTCTACATAATTAATGGATCTCAAAAGCTTATCTATGAAGATAAGTTGCTCTGAAGCACTTTGTTTCGAATCTGAAAGAAGTGCAAATAAATAGCTGGGGAGAAGGAAAATTCATAACCTTTCCTTCCTTCCTTCCTTCCTTCCTTCCTTCCTTCCTTCCTTCCTTCCTTCCTTCTTTTCCCCCTCCCCTTCCTCCTTCTTTCCCCTTCCCTTCCCAAAAAATAAACAGAGTGAAAACACTATGACAGAGGAAGCTACAGATATTACTGTAACCTTTCTCTACTGGGCACCCTCCAAAAATGTTGCTGTTGTCCACATCAACAGAACTCTAGGGGAGAAACTGAATTAAGTGCATTTGACGCACAGAGGCCTCGCATTTGTGTACTCATGTCTGACAGCTCCAGCAAATACGTTTTCAAAATCTCAGTGCGGGCGGAGGATTACCCGAGTCAGTCATATGGGGGCTCAACTTCTTTCATCTGGCAATTTAGCTGGGAAAGAGAACGTCTGTTTGGATTAGAAGCCAGACTAATGTAAGAAAAATCGAGAGTGGGTTCCTGTGTCACATTTCACATGCATGCAGCCATGGGCAAATACTACAAAGGCCCATCTAGTGAAAAAGAAAAAGGGAGAGTCAGCTGGTGGGGATGGGGTGGGGTGGGCTGAAAATAAGTACGTTATCTGATTTCTGCCATTGAACAGAGGAGCACATGCTCTGTGTGAGTGTGAGCATCAGTAGAATTTAGAATAGAATAGAATCCGTGATTGGCCAAGTGTGATTGGACACACAGGGAATTTGTCTTAGTGCATATGCTCTCATTGTACATAAAAGAAAAGATACATTCATCAAGAATCATAAGGTACAACACTTAATGCTAGTTGTAGGGTACAAATAAGCAATCAAATCATATTAGGAAACAGTCAATATAAATCGTAAGGATACCAGCAACAAGATTACAGTCATACAGTCATAAGTGGGAGGAGAGGGGTGATAGGAACGATGACAAGATTAATAGTAGTGCAGACTTAGTAAATAGTTTGACAGTGTTGAGGGTATTGTTTGTTTAGCAGAGTGATGGCATTCGGGAAAAAAACTGTCCTTGTGTCTAGTTGTTCTGGTGTGCAGTGCTCTATAGCGTCGTTTTGAGGGTAGGAGTTGAAGCAGTTTATGTCCAGGATGCGAGGGGTCTGTAAATATTTTCACAGCCCTCTTTTTAACTCATGCAGTATGCAGGTCCTCAATGGAAGACAGGTTGGTAGTAATTGTTTTTTTCTGCAGTTCTAATTATCCTCTGAAGTCTGTGTCTGTCTTGTTGGGTTGCAGAACCAAACCAGACAGTTATAGAGGTGCAGATGACAGACTCAATAATGTATGCCTGTGTGCGAGTGAAAAAAAGGAGGGAGAGAGAGTTGTACACCTGTTGCTGAAATTGCCTTGAGGATCATTTCACTAAAAAAATATAAGCTTTCTAAATAATATGGGATGACGACTCAAGCACTGTTATGTGGAGTTGGATGCTGCAGTATCTGATGTGAAATGGAAGCTAATGAAGAGTGGCTGTTCCTTTTCGAAGAGAAAGAAAACATCTTTTTTTAAAAAAAATTCAAGCATAAAAGAATTAAACACTACGTCTCAAACAATTATCCCTTTCTCTTTACTTATTTGCAGTCACTCATCATTCTCAAAGATTCAGCTCAGCCCATAGCTTTTGGACTTTGGCATTATTAGGGAACTATTTAACTGAAATGGTTAAAACCATTTAAGCATCACTGAAGAAACCAAAATGTGTAGGCCATGTTCATCACGGAAGAATCATCAGCTAGTTCTTTATTTTTTAGGAAGTGAAGCTGACAAAATCTTTAGGTAAGATTTTAATCTCCCAATGGACTGGCGACTAGAGTGGGGACATAGCATGAGATTGATTCTTTTTTAAACTACGGTCACATCTAAGTACAGATCATACTAAAATGGGGGAAAAAATACAGATTTTTAAAATACTGCTGTTTATATTAAATAGATGTATTAAAAAATAATGTGGCATTAAATAGAGCTACTTTGGTCTAGTGTGTAATGCACTCATAAGAGTGAAAGCAAGAAACTTTGAGTTCTAGTCCTGCCTTAGCAATGAAAACCAGTTGGGAGAGTTGGGCCAGTCCCTTTCTCTCTGCCCAACTCACCTCACAGGCTGCTGTTATGGGGGAAAATAGGAGGAAAGTGTGTTGGATATGTTCCCCATCTTGATTTATTTATAAAAATAGTAAATGCAGGAAATAACTGACTGCACCCCATTGTATAACACCAACGCAATTATTAAATTTGTGGATGACACAACAGTGGTGGGGCTCATTAATAAGAACAACAAGTCTGCTTACAGGAAGGAAGTACAAGGGCTGACATTGTGGTGTAATGAAAATAATCTCACACCTAACACCACAAAAACTAAAGAACTTATAATTGACTTCAGGAGGAAGAGAGATGTACATTTATTATTGTACATAAATGGTGAGGAGGTGGAGAGGGTGGGTAGTTTTAAATTTCTGGGCATTTATATCTCGGAGGACCTCTCATGGACTATGAATGCTAACATGCTTGTGAAGAAGGCACAGAAGAGGCTGTACTTCCTGAGAATGCTCAGGAAGATAAATCTAACTCAGCATCTACTTCTGTCCTACTATCGCAGCACCATTGAGAGTGTCCTGACATACGGCATTCTTGCATGGTATGGGAGCAGCTCTGTAGCGGACAAAAAAGCTCTACAGAGAATCATTAAAACTGCCCAGAATATCATCGGAGTCCAGCTGCCAGCCCTGGATTACATCTTTGAATCTCGCTGTTTGAGAAAGTTGCATAACATTCTCAGAGACTCTTCCCATCCTGCTTACAATCTTTTTGGACTGTTGCCTTCTGGCAGAAGATACAGAACAATTAAAACTCGGACCACACGTTTTCTGAATAGTTTTTATCCCAGAGCTATAATTGCACTCAACAATGAACTAAAGGGCCACCATCAGTGAGCTGTTGGACAGTATTACCTGGTCAGTTGTGTGGATGTTTGGGTGGTTTAGGGGTGGAGAATTGTGGTGGGTAGGGGTGTGTTTGGGGATTGTTATGTGTGTTGGACCTGGTCTTTGGGTGTTAAGTGAATTTCGTTGTATCGGTATACTGTATATATATGTACAATGACAATAGAGTTATTTATTTTATTTATTTATTTAAATAAATAAATAAAATTAAGGAATGACAGATGTAATAGGAGGCTCTAAGATTTTCTGAAATTGTTCTTCCAAAGTTGGATTCATGGCTGTGAACCATGAACTGGCCAATTCTGCAGGCTTCAGGGCTCGCTCACTCCTTTTTTCCCCATCTGTCTGGTGCTTTCAAAATCGGAGAAATCTCAACCAGACAGAGACCATAAAAGGAGCATGGTGAGAACTGGTCTAAAGTTGACTCTGATGCATTTAGGCTCCTAAGGTTTCTTAACTCTTTCCCATCCTCCATCTCTTGAGGTATTTTAAACTAGACATTTGCTTCATGGAAATGGCTGATGGATCCTAATTCTCTATTCAATCTCATTTTTATGTTACCAGGCTAGAGAAAAGCAGGAGTTTGGAATTGTTGGAGGATTCCAATCTCAAAGTATAAAAGATTATAATAAAAGATTGAAAAAGAGGACAAAAAGTGTCCATAGCACTTTATCAGATCTATAGGAAGGTTGAAGGTTATTCCTTGCTTTGAATTGAATGACAGAATTTGAAAGCACATAATGATAGAATTACACTAGAAAGTGATCTCTAACCTCCTGCTAATGACAGAATACTTGCATGGGATGTAAAGAAAAGGCAGCATAATTACTTATCACTGATGAGAGTCGCCATCTCCAAGGCAATCTGTTAAATATTCAGCAGCACTGCTGCATAGCCTATATAATCAGAAATTTATTCCTTAGATTTATCTTAAATCCCTTGTTAGAAATTTAAAATTAGGTCCTATCCCATTGAACTAGAGAGAATATATTTGTCTTATGGAACAGCCTTTCTAAAATAGCTGGATGCTACAAATCTATAGCTATAGATTTATATAGCTCAATTACATAAGCCATCATTGAGTTATAGCAGAAGAAATCCTACTGCTTATAATCTTGGAGAAAACAATTGCTGGTCATGGCTCATAGCACTGGGATAGATGGAAGAATAATACAAATAGAAAGACCTATGTTCATGGAAGGACATGGTAAATTGACTGAAGGTAAGTACCTACAGGAAGAGATCCAGTGATCCTGGAATTATCATTCTTTACATAAATTCTATACTATGCAAAATTTACCAGTAAGTTGTTTCAGTTTTACATCAGTAGAAGATTGAGATACAAAGGTTCACAAATCATTTTGAAATTGAAATATTTCAAGCCCAAAACACTTTGAGCTAGACACACCTGTTTGCATTTTTTTTAAAAAAAAAAAAGCTGTCCAAGCTCACCTTGTGTTTAATATTTGAAACTTACTACATATCTTTACTGGTAGGAATGGAAAAGACTTAAGTGGGCCAAAGTAAAACCCTACCCTACAACCCTACCCTACTTGTATCTTGACCCACTAGTACCGTGGCACTTACTCCTAAAGTACTGTACAATACATATAATCTCAGATTGAATGCACTGAATTTTTTTCCCCTTCTAGACAAGATTTTTGATATGGAATTGCTCTGCTTGATTCATGGCATTTTTACTGGGAGCCAAAATAATACTTTTTTGTATGTGTAACTACTAGAACATTTTCCCATCGTTTCTCTGTTTTCATCCCAAATCCATTAAAGAGTGAAAGAAACTGTCTTTTGATAAGGAGTTTCAGGAACATTCTGCTTAAAATCACATTATGCTTTTGAATATTATAAGAGAAATAAAAAAGCAATACTTTTGAAAGAAAATGTATTAAAATGTTATCTCCAAGCAAATGTCTTTTTTTCCCCCCTGATACATTTACCTCTCTTTGTCTTTAATGATCTGCTCAGCCATTAATTTCTTAAATTCTGCCAAACGCAGGAGGTCTTTTGCTTCCCTTTCTTGCCACTTGCGCTGTTTTTCAGCCCAATATTTTTTCACCTAAGAATACAAAGTCATTAAATATCTGGGAGGGGAGAGGGGAAGGAGAAACCTAACGCTAGCTAATCACTACCTTGGTATCTATAAAAACAGTTTCATTCGTTCATACCATACTGATATCCGTTTGACTGCCCAATCCACAATCTCAAATACAAATAAGAAAAGCTGGTTTAAAGACTTGCTACTCTGAACTTATTACAATGCTATGTTTTCTTTTTGTCTCTTCTTTCGAGTACAGGTTTATAGTATTATGTCTTTGCATGTATCATATAATGTTATATCATGGCACATATCAAAAATACTATCTCAAAATTCAGAAACCTGACTATACTAACTCAGGGGGAAAAAACCTCAATATTTAAACGTTTACAATGGTAAATTCCAAAGGTCATCCCAACAAAGGAAATGCTAGATGCGAGTATGTGAATGAAATTGCCACAGAAACAGAATGATGGCCAATTGGATGATGTTATTTGTCTTCTTTTAAAATAGGCCTGCAGCAGAATGACCATGGGCAAAAATCACAGGAGGTAGACAAAGCAAGAGGGACAACATTTGGATCAGCAGCAATAAAAGCAAACAGAACTCAAGAGTCTCTACTAAAATATGAAAAGATACATGGAAAATGTTCCAACATAGCTAGTAGTTTTGGTCCAATGTTTATAGAATGAATCCAACAAGTGTGGATGTGTTTGCTTTGAGCAAAGGCTAATTAACTGCACAAACAGATCCTCTACCGCAGAAGAAAACAACTCACAACAGAGATAAACGAAAGGTTAATTAAATGGAAATAAACAATTCTTCTGTTGAATAAACCCAAAGGGGTGGGATATCCAATTTCTGCCTCCTATTAAACTCTTTGAATTTCTTTAAAGTAATCAAGCAGCACTTTCTACAGGCTCTGTGGGCTGTCATAGTTTGAATGAACTAGAAATAATAGAAACTAATGTAAGAGACCACTTCCAAATATTTCCATCTCCAAAAAGCTCACTGCAGCCATGCATTCAGAAGCTCCAGCAAAGCAGCCAGCAGCTAAACATGAGTGAATGGACCTTCACATCCACACCTGAGGCAGGGCTTTGAAAGTCCATCCTGATGCCATTTGGGCCAGCGCAAATATAGGCTTCAATTCAAGAAGGGCATTCTTAAAAGTCCAGCCAGTGATTTCACAAGGGCTTGGAAACAGACTGCGGTAAAATTTTGAGAGGGGGGAACAGAATTTTTTTGGGGGGGAGGGTGAGTCATTCCCCACCCCACCCACCACCGACCACCCACTACATTCCATCTTCATCTAGTCTTTCTTCAGAGTTTTTTGTTTGGTCTACAAAAGTCAATGTTCCAGTCAATTGGAATATGCAATATATAATGTTGGAAGTAACTTAGCCAATATATTTCTGCAACGAAACCTACTGAACCATCTGATTGTATCAAAGCCTGGACTTATACTGTACTTTTGGTATAAGCCTTTTTATGTGCGATCCAAGGAACCACTGCCTCCTTCAGACTTTGCCTGTGAGACCAGTGAGCATTGGTGCATTGCAGCAGATAAGAAGGCAGTTGGGATCAAGAGCTGCATTGTTAGAGCTGAATGCCAGAACAAGACAGACCAGACCACATGTAGTGAGACTAGCATGAATTTGAGGCCCTGTTGCACATGAATTTCTGAAATCATGGAATAGGAGATTTTGAAGGATATATTCTCATCTGTCTTTTTAATGGGCCTTTCAAAGCACACACACACACACACACACACACACACACACACACACACACACACAGAGAGAGAGAGAGAGAGAGAGAGAGAGATACACAAACACAGAGAGAGAAAGAGAGAGGGGGAGGGAGGGAGACAGAAAGGTAAGGAGAAGCATAAAGTTAGCCATCTGATTAGAGGACAGGGAAATGGTGATACTATATTGAGTCCTCTGGTTGCTTTCTTCAAGGCTAAGCGCTCCAGCCTAGAGTAAGGTGACCAGACGTCCTGCTTTTGGCGGGACAGTCCCGCTTTTGAGCAATTTGTCCTGCGTTCCGCGGCGTTTTAAAAAAGTCCCGATTTTTCATTCTGCCTCCTGAGTCCCGGCTGCCTCCTGAATCCCCGCTGATGGCTAGAGGGAAAAAAAGCTGTTTAAACTCTTGCCGCGGGGCTTCAAAGGGCCGACCTACAGCTGATCAGTGTTAAAAAAAAATGAGTAGACCCATGCCTGCAAAAATAGAAAAAACAGCCCCTGTTAACAGCTTCCGCTAGGTTAATTAGCTGCAAAAAGCTGCAAAAAGCTGCAAAAAGTTCCTGGAGCAGATTTTTTTCCCCCTAGCTATGCTGAAAACAAAGGCGAAAGCGAAAGTAAAGCTGCAACGTGACAAAATGAGGCAGAGAGAGATTTCTTTCTTTTTCTTTTTCTTTTTCCTCACCAAAAAAGGTAGGTACAAAACTGCAAACAATGGGAAATTTTGGGCAAAAGAGGAGAGTTCAAGATTTTAAAACACAAAAGAAAAAAAGCTCTATTTAACTAGGGAATTGTAATAATTGAGATACTATTAATAATTGTATATTGTGTTGAAAGCAGAAATGGTTAAGTTGTGGTTTGGAGGAATATATGGGGGAAATTATTTGGTTTATTATTATTGGTAAATATAATTAATTGATTTGTAAGAAATTGGATTGCATGGAAATAATTGGAATATTCATGTTCATATTGATTAATATACAAAAAAGATAGTTATATAACTAATTGATTTATATTAAAATGTTGAATTTGTATTAAACAACTGTATTACATAATTACATAATTAACCAATGTGAGGATGGATATAAAAATAGATGACAATGGGAAGGGGTATAATATAGAATAGAAGGGAAAAATTGAATTTGATTAAGATTAGAGATGAGGATGAAGGGTAATATTGTTTTTTTAAAAAAATAGATGAGGAATAAATATGGCAAAAAGGAAATATAGAAATTGTAAATTTAATTGAAATGACTAAACGCTGTTTAAATTTGTGAACCAGCCAAATATTCTGTTCAAAGAAAATGCATTGTATGTTTGTATGTGTGTTTCTAATTATTGCTATTTATTCATATTTGTTCTCTTTTATTCTTTAAAGTTTAACAATTCATTCTTAATCTTAATATCTTTATATTTGCTTGGGGTTGGCTTTCTTCCCTTTCATCTTTTTTATTGTACAGCAATCTTTCTCCTCAAACCTACCACCACTCTCTTTTCTTTCCTTCTTACTTTCTCTTCCCCCCACCCTCTTTTTCTCCTCCCTACTTCCTCTTCCTTTCTCCTTCTCCTCCTCTCTTCCTCCCTCTCTTACCCTCACTCCTACTCTAATTTCCATTCCTTCATCCCTCTCTATTGCTGTATCCTTTAATGCATATGGACTACTCAGAGGGCTGAAAAAGTTATTTTTGACTGGTCCTCACACTTTTGACCAGTCCTCGAACTTACGACTGTCCTCACATTTTACGTTTTTGCCCTATCTTGTCACACCATGGTGAAGAGAAGCAGTTGTGAAATGAGTGACATGGTTGTTAAGAATGCTGCATGGGCATAAATGTGAGGATGGTCATAAGTGTGAGGACCAGTCAAAAGTGCGAGGACCTGTCAGAAATGACTTTTTTCAGCCCTCTGGTTAGTCCTTTTGTGCATATGGACTACTCAGAGGGCTGAAAAAGTTATTTTTGACTGGTCCTCACACTTTTGACCAGTCCTCGAACTTACGACTGTCCTCACATTTTACGTTTTTGCCCTATCTTGTCACCATAGTGAAGAGAAGCAGTTGTGAAATGAGTGACATGGTTGTTAAGAATACTGCACGGGCATAAATGTGAGGATGGTCATAAGTGTGAGGACCAGTCAAAAGTGTGAGGACCTGTCAGAAATGACTTTTCAGCCCTCTGAGTAGTCCCTATACACATAGCCATGCCCACCCGGTCACGTGACCAGCTAGCCACGCCCACCCGGTCACGTGACCAGCTAGCCACGCCCACCCAGTCACATGACCAGCTAGCCACGCCCACAAAATAAGCCACGCCCACAATGTCCCTCTTTACCAATGTTAAAATCTGGTCACCTTAGCCTAGAGACCCCTCTTGAAATGATTGTGACAATAAACAGTGCAAAGATGTGCAAACAAAGCCAAAGTATTAGTAAGAGTGGGCGGCCATCTTGGGAGGGAAGTTTGGAGGGATATTTAAGGAGCAAAATAGGTCCATTTTATGAACACTACTCATACGAAAGCACTAACACATCTGCAAGACGAATTTACATAGGCAAGTCATCCTCTGAATGTTTAGTCCCAAATAACTATACATGAGAGCTTATTACATTTTTTTAGACATGCTGACACCATCGCAGAATTTCATGCAATGTTGCAAGCATATGAAAACATATTCTCTCCCTCTCTCTGAACCGAGTCTTCCAAGGATTCATGCAAGAATACAGCAGTCTTTCAAGATTTGCCCACATCTCACATTACCATTATTTTATTTACAAACCCAGTGAGGGATACCAGTAAGGAAAGCTGCTTCAATATGTATGCACCATACATATTGACTGCATCTTGGAGATAGTTCAAATAATTTTAATAGAGAACAGCCTGATGTTAATTTCTCCCTACACCATGTAAGCATCTGTCAGAAATTATTCCCATATTGATATTTCTCCCCCAAAAGATAGTACTAGAACAGGCTGGAAGTGCCAATTATTACATTTACTAAAGTACTTTTTGTTTTGTTACTCCTTCAATCTGACCTTTTTTCATAATTCCATATAAAATATTGTATACAAATAACCAATGACGGCAGATACTTTTTCCATTATATAGCAATTAGTTCAGCAATTATCTTTGCAGTTGCCAGAAAGATTGAAGGGATTGTGAACTGCAAAACTATTCTATTTGTTTCCCTGAAAACAAAAACTGTTATTATACCTATAGCTCATTAGATGTCTGTCTGTCTCCCTATCTACCATAGCATGTAACATTCCTAAGAGGAACAA